ATATATAGCAAAAATCCAAAATTACCTCATGTGGATATAGTGGATACAGACCAGCACTGACATATGCCAGACTTCCTCAGCCCTAGATTGACTGTCTCAAAATGGGGGTTTTTGAATTTAGTTTAGATAGTATTTGGTGAAAATGTACGGGGATTACTTAAGGGGATGCCTCGTTTTGATAAGGAGTCTGGGTTGGTTATAGGGAGATTGGCCAGAGTGGGAGTTTATTTGTGGCCAAAGCCTTTAGTTGTATGTAAATTAATTTAGGTTCCTGCTAGTGGATTATACTATTAAGTAGTAGGGGATTTAAAGGCAAGACAACTTAAGGTTAGAATAAATTATCTAAATAATAGATTCCCAAAATCTGTAAGTAAAATAGAGACACCCAATGGAATAAATCATGTTGTACAACAACACATATACATACCTACATACCCACTTACACATATACCTACATATAGTTACATATATTTACCCATACACACATACATGTATATATACCATCCACCTACACCATTAAGGTCTGGTTATAGGAATAGTGAGCTTTACTTGAAATTTTTAAGGGGAAGATATTAAAGTAAAAATTTATTCAGAGGGGGTTGCATCAATTGGTGGGGGCTGTTGTTTTTTTGGTAGTTAATGAGTGATAAGGTAAGATCTATATTCTTATATAAGCTTAAACCTGCTTCTATGCCTATTAGTACTAGCTCTTTCTCCTTTGATTTAATAGTTTGCATTGATCATTGTATTTAATTATTCTAATTTTTCCCTCTAAACATAGCCTGCATTTATCTCTAAAGCCATTGTGCGAAACCTATAATATGCGAAACCTATAATTTGTGAATCTATCTACAGTTTTAGACTCTTTTCCTTCAATCCCCAAAATTTCTTTGAAAGGGCTGTTTGAAATTTTAATTTAGGATTGGTAAATGAGTGCCTATGGCTATAAATTCTCTGTTTCAATTCTCCCACAGAAATTCCAATGTAAACATTATAATTTGTCATATTTTCTTTGGGGGCAATGGCTGCTTGGCATATTACCCTATTGGATTTGCATTTACCCTTGATTGGGCAGTTTTTCTATCTCTAGTTACAGGGGGGTTCTGTACTAGATTTTTTTTTTTTTTTTTTCATAGAATAGGAAATCGATCAAAATTAGCTACTCCTGCACTAATAACATGTACCAAATTATCAACTCCCATAATAATTATGTCTTAAATAAATTCTATAGGGAAAACAACTAAATCTATTATAATGACAGATGGCTAAAAAAGGGCACTGATCAAAAAATGAATCAATTCAATCAATATAATTTCTGTTTGGAATACGCTATGGAGTATTTTGCTTTTATTTTGAAAATAGTAAATTTAATCTTTTAGCTTTCAATTAAAATGAAAGCTACAAGAAAGAATTTTCATTTATGAAAATTCATTTTAAACCTTAGATATACCAAATTAGTGGAGATACCTAGTGATATGTCCCGGAAAGGGATATATTTGAACTAAGTAGCTAAGTGGTTTTGGCTACTATAACCAAGTAAAATACGGTAGCAGTAATCAACTGGTACGCGTCGTAGTCACAGGTAAGAAGTGTAGATCAATGGCGTAGTCCAATGGGCGTCGTTATAGACTTAGCTCTCAGACTAAAGCTCTTGACTCTGTCATACCTACACGTCCGTCTGTATTTATGACGGACACCAGCCAATCATATTCCATTGAGGGGGAACACAGGTGTATGCATATTCCATTATATCACCTAGTATACTATGTTTATAGGTAAGCGTTTAATATCAGGAATAAAGTATATGTAAATATAAAAGTGAACTTTCTGTTGACTTCAAAAACTGACAGGTGATAATCTGTTTCATGCTTGAATGCAATCTTCAGGCCATCTGATTGCATACATGCATGAAACAGACTTTTACCTCTTAGTTTTAACCTCAGTATCCATTTGAACATTTAAAAAAACTATGAAATTTGGAAACTGTAAATTGCATTTAAAATATTTATATTATTATTATTATATTTATTATTTATACTAATAATAAAAATGCTAAAGATTAAAACACTAGTTTATGATCAAGAAAGTAAAGCAGTAATACTCAAGTAATTTTGTAATTGCATTGGTTTTATTTTCTACCTGAGTAACTTATATGATTAAAGAATTCTGCTTTTTAAATAATTAAAAAGTAAAAATACCTGTAGTATGTGATTTAAGTCAGGAAATACCAGACAATCTGAGTTGAATTTAATGTCAATAAGGAATCTTTGTTCTAAGAGGAGTTGATATGTGGTGACCCCAGATATGTACTGGGCTCACCCTAAGAAATGTCAAAGTAAGCTTTGCACTAAGTGTCACACCAGTGCAACAAATGAACAGATTGTATCAGAGGATTGAACTGGAAGGTGACCTCATAGCCACCAGATATAGATTTACACTTTGCAGGATGTCAGTGGCTGCTCCCTGACATGTAAACAGATGGTTGACCCAACTGCGCTTTGGATGTGCACATGTGTGACAACCGAATGACAGGTACAGATGTAAGTGTTCCACCCAATAGGGAACAGGTAGAGATTCTCTCTTATACTCCCATGAAGAGGAATTGCCTTTTGGTGAAAACCCTGAAAGCTACACATCCACTTAGTGATATTAATCGATGAAGTCTGGGGTTGAAAAAAAAAATAATTCTATGCGTAAAAAAATTAATCATGTGTTCTTATTAGACTGAACAATGATAACATTACTGTGGTGAAGGCAACCATAGGTGACTCCTCCTTGGACTACTCTACTATAAAAAGTGATGGTAGAACTTCACATATGTGCTGTGGTCGAATTGCTTTGAATAAAGCTTCATTACAAGTTTAAATGTTTGTCTGTTTTCTTTACAATTACATAACTAAGAATATTAAAGCAAAATAAGAATAAAAAAATAAAAAGCATGCATTAGCGACCTGTTCTCACTATTTACTAATGAGATAATCCGTTGTTATGGTAACATGAGGTATATTTGTTTACTGTCTCTGCATAATGCTTGTTAGCATAATAAGTGAATATTGCATTAGTAAGTGGTGAGAATTTGCTGCTTGAGTGATAAATACATGAAATCACTTTGTTTTATAGAAGAAATGATAAAAAAAGAACTCTTATCCATAATAAAAGTCAAGTTCTATCAACATTAAAAAAAAAATCAAGTACATTGCTTTCCAAAAGATTGAAATCAGTAAGAATACAAATCTCAAAAAGAAATACAAGAGATTTATGATGGAAGGAACATGTGCCCTTATGATTCAGGCTAAGAAATGTGCATCTTCCCAACAGTTAAAATGCCTGCTCTCATTGACGTAATCAGTTTTTGAAATGGAGCCAGCAGCAGTGATTACAGCACCCAGCCTTACTTATATTCCACCAGATCAATGCCAGAAGTGAACATTAGTGTAGGAAAATGTTTGGATAGGGAGTGAGAGAAGAAGGCAAATCATTCTGCTTAACTTTCTCTGTTTGAAGGTCATTAGAATAAAAGAAGAGAAAAAACACAATGTGACTCCTATGATTAACAAATGAAACCAAGACAAACAGTAAAGAATTTCAAGTTAATTATTTGCCAAATTCATAAATGCTTCAAACACTACAAAATATTCACATTATAAATGATCTTGGAAAGAGAATCATACTGGCATAGAAATCTTTCTAGTCCAAACCTAAAAATGTGGGGAAAGTTTTTCATTATTAATAAACAAGTTTTGTAAAACTCAAAAGTCAAGGATGTAAGAAGTTGACGATCTTAAAATACAACATTTTTTATCTACTTTGGGGATCTAAGGTATTTGGAAAATTTAAACTGTCTATTTGTTTTAAATTCAAATGAATAATTTGTGACCTTCTGACAGTCATTAAAAACAAAAATATTTTTTTTAATAAACATTAACCTTTTAGTGTTTGTTATAAAAAAATGCTTAAAACAGGTTTAGTTTGCCATGCTATTAACTAGAAATGTGCGTACATGCATGCATACACGCACACACTGTATATATATATATATATATAAAAAATGTTTGTATCAAAAAAAGATTTATGTTTCAGATATGAAACTGAGCAGTTATAACTTTCAAGAAAAACTGGACAAGTAGAGTGTGCTTTAAAGGCAAATAGAACCTTGTTTGATTGTGAAGCTCTTTGTAATCAAGTAGTCAAAGCATGTTGGCTTAAACATCAGTGGACATAGGATCAAATCCTGCCAGAGGGTGGATTTTCTTGAATAAGTTTTCTCAAATGTTCAGGCGAGGAGACAAAATAAAATACTGTTTAAAATAAATGTAGTATCTACTAAAAATAAAAATATGGTGTCAGACCTATGCTAAAAAAACGACACCTAATTGGTTAATCAGGGTAAACCCACAAGCCTCATTTTAATTTTATTTTGTTGTTATCTGCTTTTGAAATTTAAAAATAATTTTTTCTCACCAGTTATTTACTATGCCTGAGGAAGCACATTTTGAGTGCTGAAACATGAAAGCTATTGTGTAGCGATTTTTAACGTTTTTGTTTTAATCCCATATAATAAATAATAATAATAATTACGTATGGTAGCCAAATAATTTGGTTTGGTTTATTGTGTAGAAATAGTTTTTTTTTCTTATTTAACTTTCTTGAACATATTTACAAATTTGTTCTATTATTAAGGAGAAAGAAAAAGAGATGCATAGTGAGAGAGAAAGAGGTGCCTAGCGAAAGAGAGAGAGAGAGAGAGAGAAGGAGATGCCTAGCAAAAGAGAGAGAGGGAGATGCTTAGTGAAAGAGAGAAAGAGGTGCATAGAGAGAGAGAGAGAGAGAGAGATAGAAAGAGAATGGAGTGTATAAAGAGAAAGAGAGGATGAGCTGCAGAGAAAGAGGATTGGATGCATAGAGAGAAACAGAGAATTAGGTGCAGAGACGTGGAGAGAGAGAGAGAGAGAGAGCAAGGTAAGCGTTATTCTTCATTCAAAATTTAATTTTAAACTTACCTGCATATTCTGGTTTTGCATAAGTGCCTGGTCCTTCTGTATGAATGTGAATTACCTCAACATCTTTCAAGTTAGCTTTTTTACCATATTCTGCCAAGGCATCCACCAGGGTAACAGGAGTTGCAGCAGCACCATGCATAAAAACACGCATACCTGAAAAGAGATCAATGATAATGTCTATTTGATAAAAGCAGAAATTAAATCAATAGCAGTGTTATTTTAAATAAAAATAATTTGTAGAAAGAAACACTTTGTATAGAAAGATACCAGGTTAAATATTAAGTAATTCTCCCAATTATAATACAGCTGGACATAGTTAAGCAGCCTAGGGAATGGAAGGAGTTGTCCATTAGTTTGGATCTCTTCTCTGACCTAACTTTCATGGTTCAATGGAGGGAGGAGGAGACTGGCTGGTATCCGATACCTCCAAAACAAAGCTAGTAACATTTTGTCACCACCAAGCAGACCCTAAACCTACACCAATCCTGATCAGTGGTTATACATGCAAAGAGTCTCCTTGTCTTGAATGTGTAAAGGGTTTAAAGCTCACTCCCAGCCTCAAATGGAACGTGTATATTTGTACCATTGCAAAAGATGATGGAAGAAGAGTCAGTTCCTTGAATTGCTCCGGAAAATACCTAATTCCTGCTACTATGTTTTAGCTTTACAAGAGTCATATTAGACCAAGAATGGAGTATTGCTGCCTAGTCCTCACAAAGTCCAAAAGTTATTACACGGCCTTGTGGGTGATGAATTATTCTCCAGCTTCTTTCCTGGAAGTGTTACTTTGTTGAACTCCCAAGAGGATGCTTCCCTGACAACTACAATCTTGGTCCATACAAATTCAGAATCAACTGATATCTATCCTACATGTGCTCATAAAGTGCACTTCTTACTCCCTTCTTTCCCATCCCTTACAACAATCTCGCTCAGTAACAGAAAGAAAGAAAGAAAGAAAATGAAGAAAAGAAAGAAAATGAAGATAGTGGAGGCAATATCGCTCACTTGCATTTAATGTCTGCTTCAGTGAAATGAAAAACCTTGTCAATTTTTAATCTTTTCATTTGTACCCTTTCACTTCTTTAAATAATGACCTGTATTCCTACTTATAGTTGCTATTGCAATATTTTGATAAAAGTTGTTAAGCTCAAATATTTAATGATGCAATAGGGGATTTCCACAGGTATTTTAAAGTCATGAAACTTGCAAGGAACTTATTCAATCATTAAATTAAGAATTATAATTCATCAGAAAATTTAAATAGAAAACTGCTGGGTACTGCTGTTAACATTGGAAGGCTTTTGAATAAATCAATCATTATCTAAAATCCTATCTACATACACTCCAACTTAAATTTCAAATACTATCAAATACAGCATCATCCTATCCTACTGTCAAAGGATTTTTTACCTGCAGAATGTCCTTGAAGAGAATTTGCTACTGATATTTGCTGATATTCCAAAACAATGACAGTTTTATTATTTTGTATAAATTCTTTAACGTCTGGCCAGGATTTTGTGATGTGATCTTTTGGTGATGTTGAACAGTGGCAAAATGTGTTTGATGAATAGTAAAATCAATCCCAGATGATGTTTTAATAATTAACTGTTTTTTTTTTCTTTCTTATTTTTTTAAGATTTCATTAAAATAATTTAGTTGAAAGTTTCCATGTTTGTAAATATTAATTTTATTCATACTCAAGTCAATAGAAAAAAAATATTATTATATAGTCACCTCCACTGAATTTTTGATACCTAAGGTTTAAAATGAAATTTTAAAAATGAAAAAGCATTCTTGAAGCTTTGTTTTTAGCTTTAATTGAAAGCTAAATGATTAAATTTACTATTTTCAGTAAACAAAATATTCTAGTTTATTTCAAATAGAAATTATATTGATTAGAATCTCAAGCTTTTGTTTGCTTTTGGAAATAGTTTAAATTCAGCCATTTTTGACACATCTGTAAACAAAAGTTAACTCTCAGTTTTAAAAATCTTTAAAAAATAAAATATACATTTCTGAAACTTTATTTGAAGAATATTAGCTGATTTAAAGCATAATTAATCTGATTTGAAAAATATTATTTACTTTAAGTTTAAAATAACAGAGAAATGGTTTGGTTTGTTTTGTTTTATTGTAAATCAACCTCAATTGGTCATTTAATGGCAACAACTTTTTTTTTTTCTGCTGGTAATATTTTTGTTTTGTCAAAAATCTATTTCTGTTAATATTTTTTTCCTCAAAAATGTATAACTGGTAAAATTATTTTTTCAAATACTTATAGCTGGTAATATTATTTTTACAAAAACATATAGCTGGTAAAATTTTTTTTTTTCAAAAACGTATAGCTGGTAATATCATTTTTTCAAAAATGCACAGCCGGCAACATTATTCTTTCAAAAACATATAGCTGGTAATACTATTCTTCCAAAAATGTATAGCCAGCAACACTATTCTTTCAAAAAAAATGTATAGCTGGTAATATTATTTTTTCAAAAATGTACAGCTGACAATATTATTTTTTAAAAACGTACAGCTGGCAATATTATTTTTTCAAAAACATTATCAGAGGCCTTGCTGTTGGACGTAGTTTATCGTCTTACCCAGGACACAAATGTAGTTTATCGTCATACCCAAGATGCCGAGAAATGGATTTTTAAAACAAACAGTATTAGTGATTATGTGCTTGTCACTCATCGATCACTTAACAGGCATAGATAAGGTGCTGACGTATTTATTGTTGTTCTATGGTGACTTTAATCTGTAAAACATAATTTAAGAAAATGACAGGTGAGTGCCTTTTTTATATAATTTTTAATTACTCAGTAATTTTAAAAATGTTGGAAAATATTTCTGTAATCTAATTTAAATTTACTATAGTTATTACTCTTATTTTCTGATTATGTCATGTATAGTCACAAACAGGAGCACATTATATATTTTATATATATGAAAAAAATTTTAAATTATTTTAAAAATCTTACAGCAAAATGACTTATATAAAGTTTTACAATTTTTGATTCATAAATATAGTTTCCACTTAATTACAATATCATCTAACCAGAAGGAAGTAATTCAGAATTTTAAATGATTTAAATTATTATAAATTATTATAATTAAATTTTTTTTAAAAGTGAAAACAATTCTTGTAAAAATTCATTATTCATTGGAAAATTTTTTTTCTTAAGACAATAGTGTCCTTAAACCTTATTTATAAAAGCAATTAAAAGCTTTTCTAATTAGTTTTATTCTAACTAATTTTATTGCATTTTTTTATTTCATGATTCAGAGTAGTTTTTCAGGAAAGGAGTAGTAGTTTGAAAAAAAAAATTGGATGATTTACATTCTTCAAGGAGTCCTATTTTTAACTAATAAGAAAGTTTTGGAGAGAAAATTTAGTTTCTCAAAATTTTATGAAATTAAGTAAGGCAGGCAGGTTAAACATATGTGTCATGGGTCCTTACCTATAACTACAGAATGAACTCTTCCTAACACTATGTATACTACACCTCTCAAGAGAGAGGGTCGAATTGAGTCGAGCCGATAGTAGTTCACTCTAAACCAGACTGACAGTCATACTAACACCTTCCACATCTTGTATTATTATTTCATGTAATATACCTTCGTTATTTCTACTCTTGTGTTCGTGTTGTTCTTCCTTGGTCCTAACCTGGACCATAACAATATGTAAATAATAAAAAAAATTTTTACCAAGATTTTCTAAAAAAAATTTCAAAAATAATTTCATTCATTTGTGAATACTTCCTAAAAGTTTCATTAAAATCCGACAATTATTTGATTTCTGCAAGAATTTCCAAATCAATGTGTTATTTTAGTGAAAAAAGGCACTAAAATTTCCATAGCTCTGTTACACTGTTGACACCTAAAAACACAAAATTTCTAACCAAAATTTTGAATGTACTAGAAAGGATTAAAAAATTTAATAAAGTAATAAAAACATTTTTGTCTTTCCTCTTAATAATAACAAACATTTTGATGATAAAACTTTGTTTTTATTAAGCAAAAAACTGGAGGTACCTACTATTATATAATCATGACCAATAACCATATAAAAGTAAGATTGGGCATTAGACTTTCATTTAGATTTAATAAAATACAAAGATCAGAATATTATACGCAATAAAATATATGCCATGGTGATTAATTACTAGTGATTGTGGTTAACATTAGTAACTAACAAGTTATTAAATTCTGGTGCTATTAAATATTATAATGATTAATCAGATCAAAATGGTTATCATTAACAAAACCACTCAGTTATAAACACTTTATTTAAATGTCATAGCCAGAGATGATAGTGGGAACAAGTTCTCACTCTGTAAAATGTTTCCATGGCATGCATCTCAAACTAATTTCAGATCCAAGCCAAAGAATGGATGAAGGCAGAAAACTGGCACCTCGTAAAGCAGCTGCTTTGGGCAGATGGAGCTCGACAGCCTAGAAAGGTAGTTCGTCAAGGAAAAAGAAAATTATGATTTTAAACCTACGCTGCCTTGCAGTCATATCCAAACACAGAAAAGGCCATGGAAGTAAATACAGACAGAAAACCAGGAATAGAGCCCCAAAGGTGGTTAGCTGTCAACACTGACAACTTCTGGCAACTCCTGCAGTCAAACTGTCCCCAAATATAATGCCCTTTAGATTTTGTCACCTCTGCTGAGAGCGGTCTATGTAGTCTGGGCAGCACAGGCCCTCCATATACTATCATCCAGGCCTACACCCTAGAGAGGTAGCTCCAGTTTGCCACCAAAAGACTGTATGCCTACAAGTTGGGGGAAAAAAACAAAAAAAACACACAGAGATGTTTACTCTAAAGTTTATTTCTGTTATACATGTAAAGGCTAAGACTTCATTATATATCATTATCATTACCTAATTTCACTTACAAGGCTTGGGTAAAACCATGGTATAGTTTTTCAAGCACTTCCCAACAGGGTGGGACCACTGTGTGCTGGGATTGTCACCCCAACTGATATTATCAAAAAAAGTCACTATCTTGACAAATTAACCATGGTCAAAATCAAATTTGGGTCTCATGGTTTGAATGCTAATGTTATAATCACTTGGCCAAATGCCCAGAAACTGTTTGGAAGCAACGAATTTTATGTTAGCATGAAGTCACAAGTCATCATGAC